TTAGGTATTAAATTGTTCTTATCTCAACCCATGAGTCTCTTTTCCCTTTATCCCTTTAATTCTCTCCCCCATGCCTGGGAGGGGGGAGGGTGTGCAAGCGGTTATTGTGTTTGGCTGCCAGCCAGGGGTCAAAATTCCAACAGTGGCCCGGGCCCCCAGGTCATGGCTAGTTTGCAGAGAGCAGCATGCTCCCTGCAGTGTCACCTCTGGATCGCAGCATGGAAACTGGAACTTGAAGAAATGTCACTGTCTTTGACAATACTTACTGTAGCAGCATTGCTGGGCTGCATGGTTTTCAGTGCAGCTTTTGCAAGCCCAGCTGTGGCCTCAACAGTGTACTTGGCTGAAGCTGTTAGATATCATAACAATTGTGCTGTATAATATCCAGCTTTTTTTAGTTATAAGCTAACTCTGACATGCCTACAAGAGTCATGACCCAAAGGATGACTTCACTGTAGTCACGTATTGCTCAGTGACCTACCTTAGAGGGTGCAGTGTGGTGTCTGTCCCATGTTCTTCCCAGCAGACCTAATTAAGAGGTTTATAAGAATATAGAAAGAGTTGCACTCTTACGCTTAAAATTATGCAAATACTGCTTTCTTTCAGTACAGGTGAATATGTTTGAGAAACTGAGGGCTTGACTATAAGTTAAAGGACAGATGATAATGAGCACCAGTACTCAAGGCTGATTAGAAACCCAGATGGCTTTATGCATGTTTAGCCTGTTGTATATCCGAAATGCTGGGAAACAGCATTGCCAGTGACTGTTAAAAGGCAAAGCAAGTTCTCACCACTAAGCAATATGACCAGTAGATAAAGCTGGTAGGTAGATTAGGTTGTAACTAAGGTTGTAGGTTTAAAAAATGAGTTAGCGACAGTGCAGGTGTAAGAAGACCAAGGAGAACATACTGAGCTACCCTGTTCCAGGAAATGTTGATGCCATGGGAATAGAGCAGGCCTGCAGAGCAGAGCATTGCTAGCTACAAATGTTCCTTTACTAACTTACTAGAAGCTAAAACCTGGTATCTGTGACCATGAGATCATAGCAGCACACTCTGCAAAAATATCTGACATATTGCAGAATACACAATCCTGTGCTTTCTCTAGAAAAAGAAACTAAATGTGCCCTACCTACTCATTTCTGCTACTACTTACTATTCAATTTGGGATACATTACAGTTAATTGGCTTTGAATTTTTTCTTGGCAGTAATTTATTTTCCTTTTCTTTGGTTATCATTTTGTAAACTTCTAGGCTATTTCATGTACTCATGGCCTATTTGATGGGTTGTTTTCCCAAGCACAACTTCAGCTCTTTCTGAAATCTGTTACTATTTCATTTGTAGTGTTGTAATCCAAACTCTCCAGTATGACTCAACAATTTCAGTCACTCCACTTGGGTTCATGTAATGCAGTGTGCTTGGTTGCTACATAACTGCACTTTAGGTGTAGGAAGGTGTGCACGGGAGCTCTCCAGCTTTGCTGTGTGTGCTCTGATACCGATCAATGGCACTCTTGCACTGCATCTACACTAAACGGGGACTTTTCTGGCTTCTGTGTCCACTTTTCATACCCTTTGGCAGAACCTTTTGAACAATTCTGGAATAGCTAAAATCAACCCTTATCGGCTTGTTTGAACAGAGCCAGTTGGTGTAATATGTCCCTGGCTGATGAATTTTCCCTTTCCTTGATGCCCACAAAAAGCATGTTAAAACCTCTTGCGTATTCATATGTCATACAATCGTGGAATGGTTTCGGTTCAAGGCTGGAAGAGTTTCTAATTAGAGAAGTTAATCTTTGTTTTGTCAGGTTATATCTGACAAGAATTTCCACATATTCACTGAAACTGGAAGTCTTTAACAGCTAAAAATTTAGGCTACTCAAAATGTGGGCCATGCAGCTGTCACTGTGGCTCTACCAGGTGCTTTATACCCACGCTTACTTGTAGGAGGACCCAGCAGTAAGTCCCCATTAAACATAAGAATTTTCTTTGGTGCCATGATTTTTTTCTTTCAGTAGTTGCTCACTATCATAGAGCTTCCCAACCTGCAAGTTTAATACAGTCTTCAAGGACAAAGAGGCAAAAGGGAACACGAGGGACTGCTTCGTGCTAGTTCAGTTCTACCTTGGGTTGGGGCTGTAGTTTTGTTTGT